AGCTGGTTTGTCACTTAAAGTCTTCTCAGCTTCGCCAAAACCCGAGTGCAAAAACGAGCTTAAAAAAACATGACATTTAAAAGAAAACACAATTCTCCCGTTCCAGTTCTTCGCTCCCGCCAGCTCCCGCCTTCCTTTTTGCCTTGGAAACGCGTTTCGGGGCTCTGAGCTCGGATTTTGGGGGGGGTGGGTGGGGGGGGAGCGGAATTTCTGGCCCTGGGGGCTCACGGGAGGGCCCCCCTGCCTCGCTCCGTGAGCGTGGCTGCCTGACCTGAGCTGCCCCGTCCTGCTGCCAGAGCCAGCCCAGCCTGAAAAATGGGTCTGTCCTCTGCCAGGCTGGAATAAAGGAGAAGGGCAAGGAATCAGGTCCGGGAGCTATTCCTGGAGACAGCCTGTGCCGGAGGCGGCCACGGCCACCAGACGCTGCCCGAGGACCGGGATCCTTAGGGCTGGGATGATGAGGACAGGGATGTCGGTGCTGGGAGGAGCAGGTGTTATTAGGACCAGGATGCTGGTGTTCCTGGGATCAGGCATTAATAGGATCAGGCGTTATTAGGACTGGGATACCAGTGCAACCAGGATCAGGTAGTATTAGGGCTGGGATTGCTGGTGCTGGAATCAGGCATCCTTAGGACCAGAATGATGCTATTGTTATTAGGATGGGGAGTTATTAGGATTTCTTAGGACTGGGATGCTGGTACTGTTAGGATCAGGCTTTACTAGGATGGGATTCTGGCACTATTAGGATCAGGTGTTATTGGGACCAGGATGCTGATGTTATTAGGGCCCAGTGCTATTGGGATCAATGGTGGTCCCAGGGCCGAGCATTTGGGGTAAAGAAGGGGAACATGGAGCAGCCCAGCCACAGCACCCCAAAATGGGAGGCTGCCAGCCCCATAGCTGCCTCCTGCTGGCCCCAGGGTGGGGGGCACCAGCACCCAGCTGCCCCCACATGTGGCTCTGGCCCCCACTTCCCACAGCTGGCACCCAGGGAAGCCGTTCCTGCAGGGAGAGCACAACTGCAGCTGGTCTGGGTGTGGGGCGCCCATCCAGGGCCTCCTGCAGCTCTGGGGTGCCCACCCCCAACCCCTCGCTGACCCCCGAGCCCCCCCAGTCTCCCCCCTGAGCTGGAGCAGCTGAAGGAGCCGTCAGGAACTTGGCAGGACCCCCAGGTCCTTGTGCAATAATTCCAGTGTCCTCGTTTCTGGAGCCCGCACAGGGAGGTCTGTGGGAACAGTGGGACCTCGGGGGTCCTGAGGTGGGGGGGAAATCAGAGCCAAGCCCTCAGGAGGTGCTGGGAATGGGGGAATGCCATGTTTGGGAAGAGTAGATGCCAGCCCCCCAGGTTGTGTCACCAAGGGACAATCCCAGAGCAGGTCACTCACTGCACAGGGATCCTGGGGGTGGTGGTCCCTGCTCCTGGTTCCATGGGGGGGCATCCTGGGGTGTTGGCTGCTCTTTGCTGTGGAGGTTTTAGGGGCTGGAGATCCAGGGATGGCCCCCCTGCAGCGAGAGCTCCCAGTGTCCCCCACCCTCGTGGAGGGCAATGGCTGTGCCAGTGCCACACCTCGGCGTGGCCCACCTGCCGTGCCAGGACGCCAAGGAAGCTCCGCAGGGCGGGCAGGTTGAGGTAGGAGCTCTGGAATCCGTGTGCCCGTGCCAGGTGGTGCAGCCCATCCACCCAGGGCTCCTGCTCCTGGGATAAGGGGTGTCCCCATCCTTACCGGACGACGCTCAGGCCCGGCGGGACGTGCTTGAGCTGGTCCAGCATTCCCAGCTCCTGCAGGGCCTGGTCCAGGTGGGCTCCAGGTTGGAATGCTGGCAGTCAGTGACATCCAGGGCTGCCAGGAAGCGAGCTGGATCCCGGGAGCCAGTGCTTGGCGTGGGAAAAGCCTCCCCCATGAGCCGCGGCTCCCCGGAGCGCTCCGCGAGAAAGGGGTGACACCTCCAGGTGGAAAACCGGTGGCTGCATCCTGACATCATGGATTGACATCATCCAGGGACCCGGCCCGCAGACCTCCTTCCCAGCCTGAGCAGGGCACGCAAACAGAAAGTATCTCAGAGCCTGGCTTGTTTGTTTTCTTGGGAGACCAGCTCCCCAAATTCCCGACCCTGGGATGGTCCGTGTGATGTGTGGGCCGAGGGCAGTGGGAGGGGGGACACAGGTCTGGCCCAGTTTTCCAGGGTTTATTTGTTTGCAACGAAGAGGGAAGTTTTGCTGGATGTGGGTTTTGCAATAAGGGAGAAGGAGGAAAACATCCTGGGATGATCTGCTGACAGGGGAGGAAAATAACGGCCGGAGATAAGGGGGGAAGGAGACTCCCGTCATTCCTGGTGGGAGAGAGCCAGGCCTTGGACATGGGGGAGTCCCAGAAAGCAAAGGGAAAGAGGATTTTGGGGAGGTTTAGTGGGCAGGGGAGGGAGCAGAGCCCGGATGACGATGTCGTGCAGCCTGTCCCTGCGGGGGTCATCGCACGCAGGAGCACTTAAAATGTGGGAAAAAAATAATGTGAGCTCTGGGAGGGAGGATTGTGAGTAAGAGCAGAGGGATGAGTTCGTTCAGGAGCATCACGGGATGAGCCAGGCACAAGGGGAGGGTGGGGAGGGTTACTTCTCACTCCTCACCCCCACTGCAGCATTCCTGGGATGCACAGGAGGGACAGTGGACATGACATGGGACAAGGGGGGCGAGGCAGAAGGAATGGGCTGGGGACACACAGGGACACCGGGATGGGGGGGCAGTGCAACACTGGGAGGGGCTGGGGGACGTGGGGACATGGAAATGGGACGTGGGGGACACACAGGGATTGGGGGACACAGGTGGAACTTGGAGATCTCGTGGTGAGTGGGCAACTGGACCCCACTTCCCTCCCCAGGATGGGGGTACCCACACCCCACCCGAGGGGGGACACTGCCACCCCCGGGGTCAGGGGACAGAATGGGGTGGCACAGGGACAACGGGAGCAGGGGAAGCAGGAGCCAGCATCCTCATCCCACGGGATGGCACCGAGGGGGAAGGATCGGGGCTGGGGCACGTGGGAATAGCGTGTCCCCGGGATACCGGGAGTGCGGGACCGGACTGGGAGGGGCCTGGATCCGTACCGGGAATACGGGACGGGACCGAGGGGGTGGCAGGAACGGGACCGGGGGACGCGGGTTGGGACCCGGGGGAGGCAGGATCGGTGCTGGAGGATGGGACGGGGAGAGCAGGATCGGGACCGGGTCATGCGGGACGAGACCGAGGGGTGCGGGACGGGACCGGGAGATGCAGGGTCGATACCGGGGGATACGAGACGGGACCCGGAGGGTGCAGGGCGGGACGGAACGGGGCAGCCCCGCGCCCAGGGAGGGCAGGAGCGGGCCAGGGGGCTGCAGAGGGGCAGGAGCGGGGGCTGCGGGCCGGGTCCCCGCAGCAGCCCGTCCCCGCCGCCCCCCCGGCGCTGGCCCCGCTCCCAGCCC